GTGAATGTGATAATTTTTTAAGGAAAGAAGCGATAAGTGAAAGCTTCACTATTTATAATAGTTTCAAGTTCCTAACTTATCTGTTATATTCCCGAATAATTAAATAAATTTCCATCACGAAACGTGAGGATCAATACTGTAATGATAGTTTAGAATTCATAACCTTACTGGACATTGATACCACACCTCTTTAGGAATAAATAGTTTCTTAATTTTCATGGCAGGGACCGTGATTTATTAAAATATTTTGGAAAAATACAATATCGGTATTGTCATTTTATCGTATAACAATATGTGACCTGTTGTATGACAATCTGATTGTTTGTATAAACTATAAAAAAGTAGAATGAATAACTATTTTTTACTAAAAAAAATTTTTCGTCCTATCCAAAAACTAAATATATGAATATATCTACTTCTACCAAAAAACAATTTCACTTTCTACAATCAATGAAGTTGAAGGATATAAGACAATAGAGGATCTGATAAATTTTTTACGCAAGCAAGACTTAGAACTTGAGGATAAGCATTTCAATATTCTTCGTGAACAAGAAATTAAAGGTCAAAATTTCTTTAGATTGAATGTGAATAAGCTCATGAGCGATGGTTTAAAAAGAGGGCCTGCTGAAACTATTGTGGAACTTATCGAAAAAATTAAGTGCGAAGGACAGGGTAAGTAGTACTACGACTGCATTCGAATATTCCAAACCTATACTGCTTTCTCCATAATAATTTCATTTATTAACTTGTTTTTTTCCTGCTATATAGCTACGACTGCATCAAATCAGAAGATACAAGAATTGAGAGAAAGGCTAGCAATATTACAGACGTCTAAGGTTAAAGAGAAAGGTAAGTATTATGAATATCTTCAAATTTATTACTGTTTTCTTACTTTTTTAATTGAGAAAGTTTGGTATATCGTTTATGTTGACCAATATTCTGTATTTATTTTTTGTTCTTATATATTTCCAGTACTTTGATTCAGAAGTTACGAGTCTTCATTCCGATAGTTGGGGAGATTTTTATCAACTATATGCTTGTTTGAAAAGTCTTTTCGATCTCGATGGTTCATTACAAAATCATGAGTTTATTATTAATGGTAAAAATATAAAATTTGGCTGGTCAAAAGAGTATTTGATTGATTTCATTGAAAAACAGAAATGTTCAATTGATAATCCAGTCAGGATATCTGATATAAGAAGAGGTATGATAGTTCAATTATCAGTTGCTCAAAAATGAGTTGAACTAATGCAATCTTGCTTTGCAGGTATTAAAAGATCATATATGAAAATGCTAGGTCTTTTACTAATACTATCGAAACTTGGAGAACCTGATGAATTTTATAAGCTACAGACAATTAGACCTATATGTCTTAATCACCATCCACCATATGCATCTAGTACCGTACCTGTTAGCTTACATTGTTCGATTTTTGGCAAATTTAAGGATTTTTGTAAGGAAGCCCCAAAAGTTGAGGATAATCATTTTATTTATAAGATATGTAAAAAAATGACAGATTTTTTTAAAAGCGAAGAAGAACGTCAAACTACTGCAAATAAAATGTTATTCACTTATTTTGGCTACGAGATGCAACCACTTGTACTTTCTCGTAGTCGCTATACTGATGGCACTATAAGCTATTCCTCTGTGTATCATGGGCTTAATGTGGAATTTAAGTGGGAGGACTGTTGCTCTAACGCCTCCCCATATCTCGAAAATTGTAGATATTTTTTAAATTTCTGCAAGGAAAAAGAAAAAGAACATTCTTTCCATGTGACTAATTTTCTGTGCTTTTTAGTTACAATTGTAGGTATAGTAATAAATTCAATTTGACATATTTTTGTATGAATTTGTGAGTGACTTTGATTGCAATTTAGGGCCTTACTTTTCTGTTTCTGGTGCTGTGCTTTCAGATATTGCTATAATTGACCCGCTTACTCCAATGTATCCTCTTATTTGGCAAAAAGATAATGAAATGATGGTATCAATTTCAAGAATGTTTCGTGCTTTAAAGAAATCTCTCAAACTTCTTGAAGAACACTATAAGCATGTTGATAAATTAGCTCAAGATATCCCTCGAACTGCCCACCCTGTGCATCCATCATTTTCTGATGTAGTTATAAACAGCAAATGATATAGCGTTCAGTTCGATTCTGATCCTCAAGTTGGTGTTTTTTTTTCTTTGAAAAGTTAGGATTTTAGATGCACAGGAGATATATTGCATAGCCTACGTGAGAGCTATTCAAAAGCATCAATATTCGCTTAACACATATCGGCTTTTAGCTGATACTGAATATGCTCCAAAAGTTTTTGCTACTTCAGTTATTCCTGGAAATTGGCTTTTGGTTTATATAGAATGTTTAGACAACCATTCAATGCTAAATCACATCGCCATTAATCTTAATAATCAAGAATGAGATAATTTAAAAAAAAAATTGAAATAGTAGTTAAATATTTGCATGATTCAGAGCACGTACATGGGACTTACATGAAGGGAATATTCTAGTTCGCCAACTTGAAAATAACGAATTTGATGTGAAATTGATCGATTTTGAATGGTCTGAGAAGGTTGGTTCTGCATGTTATTCTTATTTTATGAACCATGTTAGTATTAAATGGCCGTATGGAGCAAAAGATGGGAAACTAGTCACGAAAAACCATGATATAGCTATATTGAATCAGATATTTTGGGCAACAAAATTGTCACAAATTGATCTAATGGATATATTCCTTTAATAAAAGGAGTAGATCGAATAATTTTAGTATAGGCAATCCAATATTTGTTATTCTTAGCATGTAATATTATTATCAAAATACCATGATATAATCACATTTTTACGATTTCATGTAACATATTTATTTTGACATTTTATTTAGCAATTATAAATCAATAATAAAGCTGGCCCTCGTGGCTCGATTTCGTATACATAATCACATTTAGTTTGCATATATATTTTTGGATTTTATTACATTGTATATATATCGATGTCCACGTATGATCGAGAATTTTTCTTGCAAAAAAAGTGATTAGTGTGAAGATTCTTTACGCACACGTAATTTTTTTATTTTGAATAAAATTATGCATATATAAAAAAACTATTATCAAATATGCAATCTGAATTAGATTTGTTAAAACAATGCATCACTAAGCTCAAAGATGAGAACGCTGAGGTTAAGGCTGAGAATGCGGAGCTTAAACATGAGAATACAAAATTAAAACAGATTATAGAAGAAAATGCTGAGTTTAAAGCCAAAATCGTTAAGCTAGAACGAGCTATTGATAAAATCGAGAAGCAGGACCAAAGTATTAATAATGATTCTCAGCGTGAGCTAGCACATTCGTGCCAAGTCAATACTCCCAAACAGATAGTTAATACAACTATCAGACCTTGTCTGTCTACAGCAAATGTAATTAGATCTGATATAAACCAGGAGTCAAGTGTGGGGGCATCGCCACTTCATTGCAAGACTTGGCACGAATGCACCAATGAATACCGATGTTCTGCATCAACAATCACCATAAAATCTAAATCATCGGAAGATATAGAGATCGACAAATTCCTAGATTCAGAGGATAAGAAAAGGGTTAGTAATGAGATAAAACAGAGAAACAGGAAGAAGAAGTTTACTGAAGAAAAAATATGTGATGAAATTTGTATAAATAAAATTCACGGAAAACTTGTTCAGAATTCGGATCTATCAACTGTTGCTATCAGCTCCAGTTTTGTTACACTTAGTGAATCTAAACAGAGTGATGAACTTATTCTCCTCTAGAGAAAAATTTGATTGTCAAACAAGAGTTAATGCAACAGCTTTCTGTGATTATTGGCAGAGCCAGCATAGCTAAAAATAAAGAAATATTGGTCAGTGATACAGATTCATAGATTCTTGATCCATCTTCAGTTTCAACGCAAAGCATAG